CAGTCAGTCAGCTACAACGAAAGACCAAGCACATATGTGCATCGGTCCAGGTTGCCATACCGCATCAGCACAACAAGATGAACACCGGATTCATAGCAGTGGTTAGGTCAAAGGTAGTAATATGTAAGAGAAAGATTGCATATAGAGATATAGTACAAGAAGAAAGAATTGGTTCATAGAAAGAAAGATATGAAGCGATTTTAATCTCTTAGTTTAAGGGAAGACAGAGAGTGTATACACCGACGCCATTGTGATCGATTCTGAGCCATGTCACCAAGAGTCTCCAACCATTGGTTACGATAGTCACGCGGACCCCAACCAAGTAGTCGGCATCTACCAACATCGCTCAGACTACAAGTTAGTGACTTCAAGCACTGATGCCACGTTTTGGTTTGGCCGCCCCTAACTTTCTTCTAACCATCCCCTACACCGGATAGCATTGCACGTCGTGGTAATCGGTGTTCAGGCATACGTAACACGTGGCCCAACCATCTCAGTCGATGAAGATTCATAACCTCATCAACTGATTTACCATCATTCCCTAATACCCTGCGTCTAACCTCACTATTACTTACCCGGTGATCCCAACAGATGCAAGCAATATTTCTAAGGCATCTGTGGTCAAATACTAGTAGCTTACGGGTGTCTTCTACTCTTAATGGCCATGTTTCGCTGCCGTAAATTAAAACAGAACGAACTGCCGAGCAGTATACTCGTCCTTTTATTGATAGACGGATATCTCGCCTCCGCCAAAGGTGACGTAAGTTGGCAAAAGCCAAACGAGCTTTTCGAATTCGTGCTGAGATTTCGTCAGATACCAACCCATTAGGGCTGATCAGACTTCCAAGATAAGTGAAGTTGTCAACGCGTTCGACTACTTCACTCCCTATCCTTAGTTCAGGTGTTAACGCAGACCAGTCCTGAAGCAACAACTTGCATTTAGAGGGAGAGAAGCGCATTCCAAACATTCTGGCATTGTTACTCAGTGCTACCAGAAGACTGAGTTTTGTCAGCGTCTTCACCAAACAGGACTATGTCATCTGCGTATTCTAAGTCCATAAGTGGACCTCCTGGTAGGAGATCAATACCCGAGAACTCAGTCGACGAGAAAGTTATTTCCATCAGTAGGTCTATGATGAAGTTAAACAAGAATGGGGAAAGTGGACAGCCTTGACGGACACCACTTGAGGTTGCAAAAGTAGATGATAGTTCGCCATAAGCTCTGACTCGACTGGTAGTGTTCGAGTAAAGAGCCTTCACAAGGTTTATGTACTTTTGGGGTACACCTTCCAATGACAGACACTGCCACACAATCTCGCGGTCTGCCGAGTCAAATGCTGCTTTTAAGTCGAGAAAGACCACCATTGTCGGACGCCGATAAGTATGCCTATGTTTTAGAATCTGACGAATGGTGAATTTGTGATCGATGCAGCCACGACCAGGTCTAAAGCCAGCTTGGTTCTCTCGTGTTTGCAGTTCACGAGTCTTAGTTAAGCGTCTGATAATTATCGAGGCTAGTATTTTAGATATTATATTAGTTAAACTAATCCCTCTATGGTTGTCACAGGATGTTTTTGACCCTTTCTTATATATTGGGACGATAAGTGATTGTGACCAGTCAGATGGAATAACGTCTAACTCCCAGATCTTAGCTAAAATATTAGTCAACCTAATCGCTAAAATTGGACCACCATCCTTAAAGACCTCTGGAGCCAATCCTTCTGGACCAGCTGCCATTCCTCGTTTCAGATTAACTATAGCCTTTTGAACTTCAGCAAGAGTTGGGGGACCTACTTCAATGTTCCATTCACACTGTCTGGGAATGGAGGGTAGTTGTAGAGTAGCTGAAGGCCAGTTGAACTGTTCTCTGAAATGTTCCGCCCATCGTTCTAAACGCCTGGACTGAGAGCAGATGAGTGTATCGCCTTTTTCCGATATAATCTCACACTTGACTTATTAGTTCCAGTTTCTTTTATCAGTCTATAAAGCTGTCTTGTGTTTCCTATAGTCGCCGCCTTTTCCATCTCTTTTGCTTTCGTTGCCCACCACTGCTCACGGTCGTTCCTTAGACTTTTGGTTAAACTAGATCTGATTTGTTGTCGCTCTTCATCGTGTTCAGAGCCTGATGGGATGATTTACGAGAATCCATCAGTGCAATCGACCTAGAGGAAATCCATTGATTCTTTGTAACCGTGTTTTAAATCACTGATAGATGTCACTGCTGCTTCCACAGCTGCTTGTATTTCATTCCAAGCAACAACTGGGTCAGCCTCGTCTTCACAACTACCTAATCGTGACCTCAGTTGTCCCTGGAACCTACTTTTGGTTTCCTCGCTACTCAGTTCGGTTCTAATAGGTCTTTCTACTGTGGCTTTTTTGCGTCCAGTGAGGCGCAAGCAGATGCGTGCCCGTATTAGGGCGTGGTCGGAGTCCAAGCAGGTACTCCAGAATGAGCGACAATCTTGTACCGACCCTCTCCAACGATGACTGATGGCAATATGGTCTATTTGAGTCCATCGTTGGTTTGGAGTAGGGGGTCGCCATGTTAGACGTTCTCTCTCCTTATGCTTAAAATTTGTGTTTACTAAAAATAAGCGATTGTCTGAGCACAGTTGCAGCAGACGATCACCATTATCTGTTCGTTGTGCCGGAATGCTAAAATATCCACCTAAATGCCTTTCTGTTTGGTTGAAACTACCTATCTGAGCATTAAAGTCACCTGCTACGAGTACTATGTCTGAGCGTCTAGCTTTCTGAAGAAGTTCAGAAAGCTTTCTGTAAAATTCATCTGAGCTGCAGTCAGTGGGAGAGTAGGCAGAAACGACAGAAAGCCAATGACGTGTGTCCCTATCCTTCCGAGTTCTTACGGAGCCGTTTAGCCGAACAGCACATAGACGACTGTTGACAGGGATCCACTCTAGCAGTGCTTGTTCCGTCCTCATGCTTAGTGCTATGCCTACACCTGCCAGTCCACGAGAACTGGCCATCGGGTCACCAGATACACGTAGGGTGTATCTCGTTGGCTCTCCGTTTTGCCGAGGTGAGGTCAAGTGAATGACCACATTGGAATCCTGTATGCGTGTTTCGGAGACACAGCATACATCAATGGAAAGAGACTAGGGTTTTAGCCAAGGAAGCCTGCTGACCGATTTGACATAGAGTGCGTACGTTGAAAGCTCCAATGTGTAGTTTGGAGCGAGGTTTTGAGCACTAGAATCGTTGGCTATGGTGACACTTGAGGAGGAAGTTTAGGGTTGAATGTCGATGTAGGAGGAATAATAGAAAGTGAAGAGGAAGGTTGATTATGAATACAGTGGTCTTGGGTGCTGTTAGAGGTATGAGGGCGGTTATCACTTCTCGGTTGCCCACACCGTGGAAGGGTTCTTCTGAAGGTACCTGAAAAGGAAATTGGATTAGAAGTGGTCTCAGTGACTTGAGAGCGTGACCGCAGTGCCCAAGGGACAACTGCTTGAGGCCGGTCGCGCACGGCCTTTTCGTGGGAGGTTTTTGACGTGTTAGCTCTGTTCTTCAAAGGGCCTTACCGCCGGAGACGGAAATCCGTGAGGTAAGGTGAGGTTCGCATTTTTAGGGTCGACCTTTTCTAACCCAAACCCCTCCTTGTGGGAAGGCAGCATCGCTGTCATGCTGGTTGTCTGAAGGAAACACCTTACTGCTGTCACACCTCTGTACAGTCAGGAGTACGACTTCGCCTTCGGACCTTGGGTTTGTTGCTTTTAGTCTTACTGCTCTTCAGCCGACCTGTCTGATATGGTAGGACCTTGAGGAACGGTCGTTCCAGCCAGTATAACTCGGTTGCTTCATCACGCTAGGCAAGCCCGACCACCACGTCAAGGTAGCAACAACGGTCGGGACGAATTTTATTAATACCTTACTCGAGAATTTATGAGAGCGAGGAAGTACTGGATAAACCACTTAATAATATGCTTTAAATATCTTTAGGAATCAGGCGCAGATGATATAAAGTTACTAGTCACAATCTGAATAGAAACAAGGTTTCCATACTACTCCAATCATAATCACCATTGTTAGCTAAATTTGAAATGAAAATATAATTTCGAGTTGTAATACTATCCTCTTATTACGACGCAGCTACTGCTATTGCTTAATAATATTGGACACTACTTTACTCGACAATAACATGTTCACATTTTTATTTCTCACACGTGATCCATCTGACTTTGCGTTAATATTTGATCTGTCTGAAGCCGCTTATTTTGTTAAGGACTACAGAGAATATGTAAAATCCAAACAGCATAGAATCCCGCTCTACATGCAGATTACTTAGTTGGGGTCCGCGTGACTATCGTAACCAATGGTTGGAGACTTCGTGACATGGCTCAGAATCGACCACAATGGCGAAGGTGTGTACTCTCCTGTTTTCCCTTAAACTATGAGATTAAAATCGCTTCACATCCTTCTACGTACTAATACTTTCTTCTTGTACTATGTCTTTATATGCAATCTTTCTTCTACATATTATCATTATTGAATTAATTACTTCTATAAATCAGGTGTTCATCTTGCTGTGCTAATGCGTTATGGCAACTTGGACCGATGCATATATATGCCTGGTCCTACGTTGTAGCTGACTGACTGACATGTTGCGAAGTTATTGAATATATACAATCCGAATTCACTTGGACTGAAATCCAAGCTCTTCTATCTTGATACAGTTGAATAGCTAGGGAATATGTGGTTTAGACTGGCACTAATATTCAGAATATGAAACTATACTGTGAAATCTACACCCGAATTTCATAAAATATAGCAAAGCTCATATAAACTGTATAAAACCAAGGGGATGGTAATTTTTACCGATGAACTTGTTCTATCAATTCTAAATGTCGAAAAATATCGAAACTTCATTTACAGCTTAGGGTTAATGTGGTATATCTCAGCTGCAAGATACAACTACTAGCTAATACCGAAGTCGATAAGTAAATCTGAAAACAAATCAGTTCAAGAGATCTAAATATTTAGTGGAAAACCAACAGAATTACTCACAACAACTAAGCGCTCGTGATATACTGCAGTAGACTTCTTAAGGTTATAGTTTAATAAAATACACATTATTGCCTGACGTTTGGCCAAAGGTTTGTATTTGAAAATCTACACAATCAGTTTCATATGTGTAAATACTGTCACAGTGATATTGCAAAGTGGTAACCGCTAAGTTTTGGTTGTGTAAAATGCCTTATAGATAGTCGGAGTCCAAGTAAACACACAAAAGTTGGAGTTTCCAAGAATTTTATTGCGAAAGTTCCAAAATTGCATTACAAAAAGCCTGAAGATAGAACGTGACCATTTCTTGAATCTACCACAAAATAATTGAATACTTGAATAAAAGCATATGAAAATTCGGAAATGGATTAAATCAAATCACTTTAAGACATCATCAGCTGAATGATCATGCAGCATTTTCGATCATCAGTATCATATGGTCGAAGAGTGATTGATTCAGTTTTTGAAAATGTGGAAGGAAAATTACTGGCTATTAGTCGAACATTTTGGTGGGATGATTTGTGAATGTTGAACATCTATGACTTCTGGTTGTGGAACAAGGAAAGCGCTTTTTGAATCGGCTTCTATTACATCTCCAATTATCCATGATGGACATCCAATTTCAGCAGTTAGCTCTTCACAAAAAGATTGGGCAGATTCTCGGGGAAGAACAATCAACAGACCACCTAGGTTTTGGTGAAAAACTAATATTATTTTCAGTAGAAGGAATAATCAAGTTTATCTATAAGTATATCAAACTTAATGCCACAAATACATTATGGTAAGGCATACAAGTTCAACACAGATATAAACAACAAAGCAAAAATAAACAGTACCTGATGTTTCTGGAGAAAAACCTTGAAGTAGTTTTAACCGATCGTTTAATGCCCTGGAAATCAACGAGCTTCCTTCAAGACACGGCAAAGTATGAATGCTGAAGGCTAAGTGATCGTTTGCCTGAACTTGGACTAAATTATTTGCATGACCCAAAAGACCAAAACCTGTTACGTCAGTACACCCGTGGGCGTGATGTTTATGCATTAGTCGAGCAGCTACAATGAACAATTAAAATATAAGCTCTTTAAGAACACATCATTACATCCTAATTTTCTATATGTATATGACAAATAAAAAGTGTTCTCGTCGGCAAAATATGTAGCTTCTTAGAATTAGCAGAAAGATACCGTTGATGCATAGTAGTAGATATAAAATAGGAGGAAATATGTCAATTCAAATTCTAACCGCTCTCCAACAATGCAGTGAGAAAAATTAACCTACAAATTACCATCATAACAACAATTACGGTACTGATAGTAACAAGCTCAAAGAATTAGAATAAAAGAAAACACTCAATTCTAATAGCTTTTATGCGGTGCTTTCATCACATGAACATGACTAGTAATTATTTTTGTCCCAAAGTATTCCTTTAGTGCATTCGGAAAAAGATAGTTAAAAAGCGTAAGCTGAAAGGTAATGCAGTTTCTCGTCAGCTGGATAATAGCTAGTGTGATTTACAATTAGAATGTGGTTGAGAAACTGCTCTTAACTGTATGAGAAAGAAAAGAGAAAATGCCAAATCAATCATTTAGTAAAAATCATTAAGAAAGGGCATACACTCGCTCGGTTACGAACAAAACTTACTAACCCAAGCGCTTTGATCGCCTTGAATATCTTAAACTTAGAATTATACGAAACATATAAGAAGTTAGTTAAAGTGGTTTTATGACGTCATCAATAAATGCTTAGATTCCTCTCAGAAATAAAATTATTCGGATGAATCGTGGGATTGTAGAGCAAAACACGTATTTAACTGACACTAAACCAGTTAAACTATAACTGTCTAAAGTAGTGGAGTCAGTAATTATACGAGGCTTTAATTAGTCTTAGACCCGAACGTAAATGAGTAGATCATTTGTTCCTTTTGGACTACAGTTCTTATGTTTAGAATTTAATTGCTTTCGATATTAATTCCCAACTTAAACTTTTGATCTTAGACTCGCTGTACTGATGAAAGTTATATCATTTTGAACTGAAGCACACTCTATGACTGATGTGTTGTTACCAATATTTTTTTGGGAAGGAGTTGATCAGTGATGTTGTCGGTGTAAAATAAGGTCGTCAGATTTCTCACCGAATAACGTAGAGTTTGAGAGGTGAAGCTCACAAAATGAGAATCTGACAACTTTGTCACTTATGCAGGTTTAGTTAAATAATACGAACGCTTCAAGAAGGAATCTGCAAATTTGAGGAAATCGATAGAAAGCAAATGCTTTTTTATTGATGACAAATAATGTGTCTCACTAACATAGAGAGAGTTTATTGTATTCAAAAACCAATAATCCTTATTCATATTGAGTGTCTAGTGTTTGAGCATAAAGAAATGCAATTTGGTTATAAACCTAACTTAGTCGAAATTGTTTTGTATATTGATTGATTAACTTTATTGCAACAAGTATAGGATGAACAGTGATATGTATTTATGAAAATGTTAGTACGACAGCATATCAATTAACATCTGAGAATCAATATTTACTAGGTGAAGCGCACAAACCTGTTCGGTTTAAATGAGTCATGGAGAGAGTAGCAGAATGAAACAGACTCTTTACTTTATCTGACGTGATGATATTGGCTAGATTTCCAGACCAAGATGGACTATCCTCCAGCATCCAGTAGTAAACTGAAACAGCTACTTGGGTGCCCAAAGGTTTTGTGAGTACTAAGACGTCACCCACTGCAGCTTGATCCGGCCTGTTAAAATTTGATTAAAGTAGAAGACCAAATACTGACAAAACATTAAAAATTAAATGAAGAGTAATGTACTATTAAGCCGAGTGAAGTCAAACATACAACAAATAGTAAACCATTTGTGTAGTAATAATTCACAGTGGTACGAAAAAAGTGAAAATAAAAACCAACAGTAAAGGAAAACCAAAGATCATCAGGAAGTAATCTACAAAGAGTGGATGACAATTAGGAATGAGGCAAAGTTGTCTACATAATTATAATTCTGCGTATACTGAATATGATAATGTTGGATACGTTTGTATCAATCAAATACATTCATGCAGTAGATGATATTTCGTTGTCTGGGTTTATTTGAGCATAGTTTAGTTACTGAAACAAATCTACGATTAGTCGAGAAGTTTGATACGTGGTTTATGTGTGAATATATGCCAATACTATGTCAGACTAATCCTTTTCTAATACATTAATCTATGTTCATTTCTTCTAACAGTTTGCTTGATGGATGTATTGAACCAACATTGCTTAGTATTTAGATAAATGCCAAGTCAATGACTATAAGATGACGTCGCGAATTTGGTCGATAGAAAATTGTCACGAAAACAAATAAAAAAGCATGAAACTAATTGGTACTTAGTGGTTGAGTTATTTCCATCTAATTTTAAACACTTACTTGTATAACGCATATAACTACATTAGAATTATTGTCAGTCGATGCATAGAAAGTCTACAATAAAAAGCCAACGTGGAAAAATTGCATGGATTGTTTGCCATTGTCAAGCTAAAAACAGCCCATTAGATATGAATCCCTTTATTCATTTAGCCTAAAATATTAATCGATATGAAATGTACCAAAGTGCATTGTACTTGAATGACTTAGTGAATGTGTATTATCGATTTTATGAGTACTGGAGATAAACCATGTATAAGTTGTAAGTGAAACATTTTTAAGTCACAAGAAAATATCAATATTCTGATGTTTCTTTCCATAAAATCCTGAATATTTAGGCACACATGCAAAACACATCCACTGATTTAATTGTACATCAGGAATTAACTACTATAGAAGAAATTCGCCTGTAGTTTTTAACTGATGTAAACAACCGGATAATTGAGGAACTTACATAATATACTCTGAATCACTGCAAACTGAAGTTGCTACACCACCAATCATTAACCATGGACTCAATACAGTTTGTCCTCCACGAACATATGTTCCAGCTTCCAATGCACAGTCCTTCAAAGAACAGAAAATGTTTTGCAATATGTAAAACAACGTAACCTACCTTAAAACCCTCCATCAATAAGCGATTTGATATTTCGCGTTCTTCTTGGGTCATTTCACGTGGAACACCCAACAATAGAAGCAAATTATCACAGTCAACTACGCCCATTGCATACAAATCACTTAGTACATTACAGCACGTAATTCGACCCTGTCTTCTTAGCGTAAAAATGACATTCAACTAACCATAGTGTAAGGATCATCAATCAGAGGATAAAAGAAGTCGGTTGTTTGGATAAGTTTTAAGTTATTTCGAATAGGAATAACACAACAATCGAGTTCTAATGCTTTAATGTCAATAGAAATATGTTAATGAAAAGGATACTAAACAAAACCTACCCAGTAACGGTTTATTACTTGAAAGTGAACACGGTTGTGGTTGATTTAGTGCCTCAAGCAATTTCTTCAGTTCAGCTTGAGGCACTTTACAACCTCATCCTCTCAGGAATGAAAATTTAGTTAGACGAAAGTCACTCCGAAGTCCATAAAACTCAGGGTTGAAAAACCCAGTCAGTTGGCGACGATCACCTGCACTCATACGTCGATGAAAATACCAAGAAACTACAACAACAAGAGACGTTGATTGAATGCTTGATAGATAAAAGCGTTATAAACAAATTATCCGAAACACATGAAGTGTAACAGATCCATGCAATACATAGTTATGGATTATACGTGAGACAAATTCCGTAAATTCTGATAATACTGCTGTCAAACCATACACAAAACAATTACATGCGGGTAAAGATACCTAAATCTCAATACTCACATACTCAATAACCACTCCTATAGCATAAGATAAATAACAGAGCGGGGAAAGAGTTGAGCAGCAAAAGGAAATATCGTCCACGTGCAAAAATACAAACGGTAGCTGGCTACTAAATCTCATATTCTTAAGGGTGACTGCCAAGAGCATTGAGATCAGCCAGTTTCTAAACACGCTCGAATATGTCGACATCCAACTTCATAAAATAACACAGTAAACAAATAAAAATTAATTTTATGAAGAGTCTATGACACCCTGTACTGTTTTTTATTAGACAGGTAATTCCAAAGATCGATATGTGTTGTGATTCTCTCTCATTACAACCCAGCTGTTCCCATTGCTTAGTATTCTTGGACACCATTTCACTCGACAAGTCCCCAAATCAGAACACGGTTGAACAGGAACAAAATTATACTCCTAATAACAAGGGTAGATGAAAGTAAGAAGCACAATAAGAAAAATGTTAGTATATTTAACATTTTTACATGAGAAGATTCTAGAGTCTTCTCCAAGTACTAGCCAGCATTGATTGGACAAGAACTAGTCAATCATCGTGCACTAACGCAATCATGCATGGAACATGCTTTAATCAAATCTGTCCCACTGACACCTCCCCTTTGAGCAAATTCGTAGGATCTGGTGCTAGGGTTCAACTACAACCAAGTAACTGGCCTGTTTGTTCCAGGCGTTTTGATTTCAAAGGTGTTTAGCAGAATGTCAAAAGTTTATTTATTTGGACACATAAGTATTAGTACAAAGGGGCACCAGATACATATGCGTCACACAATAATAATGAGAAAGGGAAGAGATAAAGCGTGTAAGGTGCGTGTGAAAATAAAAAAAGGACAATAACGACCACAAATTAGTGTATGGTAGTGAAATAATGATAATAATAATAATAATGGGGAAACAGAAAGGTACAACCAGAAAGAATCCTTTCAGTTAAAGAGGCTACGGTCACTTTTTATGAAGAAAGTAAAATAAGGTTACAGCAGGATTGCCACTGGCTTCTATTCTGAGCCATATATAATAACGTCTCTAGTCACTGTGTAGCACCATCTTTTGGACCCCAGCCAGAGAGTCGTGAAGGACCAACACAAGCCAGTCCTTTGCAGCTTTCTTTCATACCACGACACCATGTCATATACTGACCACCTCTCCGCTTTTTCAAACCAGTCCCAGAGTCGGCAAATAATGCACGACGTGGAATTCTCTGGGACGACATTAGTAGAACATGTCCAAGCTACCGAAGTCGCTGTTTCAAGATGGTGACACCAATTGCATTATCGTCTCTGTGCCAGAACACACGATGCCGAACCTCTGTATTACTAACATGGTGTTGCCACTGGATATCAGCAATCCTTCGGAGACAACGATGACCAAACACAGAGAGTCGTCTAACATCCTCAACTCGGAGAGGCCAGGTTTCACAAGCATAGAGCAAAACTGCTCTTACCGACGCGTTGTAGTTCCGACCTTCTGCAGCCAGACTAACATCACGAAGGCGCCAAAGGTGGCCCAGATTGGCATAAGCAGCTCTGGCTTTCACTATACATGAGTCGATCTTATCACTCACACCATCACCAACATTTATGCAGCTACCTAGATACACGAACTTTTCGACTACGTCTATCTGCTCACCATCCAGGGTGAGTACAGGATTAGAATCCCGCCAGTCTTGTAGAAGTAATTTGCACTTTGAAGATGCAAAGCACATACTGTACCTACGGACATTGATTGCCAACTGATTAAGTGCGGATTGCATGGCTTGGGCGTTATCGCATAGTAAGACAATATCATCCGCATACTCAAGGTCGAGAAGTCTTTCTCCAGGCAACAGATCCACACCATCATTACTTACATCCATCCGAGCTATTTTCAGAATGTCATCGATGGCAAAGTTGAGGAGGAATGGTGAGATTGGGCAACCCCGCCTAACTCCACTGCTCGAATGGAACAATGGAGAGGTGGTTGTACACCCTCGTCTATATATAGGGCCTTTAGGATGTTAATAAATTTTTCAGGCACACCTTTCTTCAATAGATAATCCAAGAGAACAGTCCTATCCAACGAATCGAAGGCAGTCCTGATGTCAAGAAACACTACGATTGTTGGCCTTTGATAAGTATGGCGGTGTTCTAACATTTGGCGGAGGGTGAAGATATGGTCGATACATCCTCGACCAGAACGAAACCCAGCCCGCTCTTCGCGAGTCAATCTTTCTCAGGTTTTGAACAATCTACGAAGTATGACGGAAGCCAATAGCTTGGACGCAATCGGAAGTAGACAACTATCGACTCATTCCATTGGTTGGTACACTTTCTAGTTCTCAGACCTTTGTAAACAACGCCGTCAGTTGCTTAGTCAAAAAGTCACCACCATCTTTAAAAAGAGCCGGAGGTAAGTTATCTGGGCCAGGTGATTTGTAGCGTTTCAAGAGTTGGAGTTCCTTGCGGGCTTCCGCCTCATTTGGTGGATCAGTCGCCACCGGCCATGGAGGGAAGGACAGTCTGACCGATGTTGCCGGAGAAGCAGGCCAGTTGAACTGCCCTTCGAAAAATTCTGCCGACCGTCCAAGACGTCGATGGATGTTAGTGATTGGCATCTCGTCATCCTCACAGATTGTCTCGCTCACACCAGACTTCTTGCTGCCAGTGGCTCGGATGAGTTGGAAGAGCTTCCGGTAGTTACCAGATGCAGCTGCTGCTTCCAGCTCATTAGCACGCTCCGACCACCAGGCTTCTCGCTTCTTACACAAGCTTTGCCCTATTTCATTACGTAACATCCTTCGTTTGTGGTCAAGCTCACGGTCACCCGGAGTATACCGACGGGCTTCAATGAATTGTAAGGAACCAGAAAAAAACCAGTGCTGATAAGCGAGATGTTTTGCGAAGCCACAAGCGGCTTTACTCGCCATTTTGATGGCGTCACGAAGTTGCAACCAATGCTCATCTATACTTTTCGGTGGGATGGTAGCTAGCCTAGAAACTAGCTCGGTTCGATACTTACAAGCAACCAACTTACTGACATCAATCCTTTGGTGGCGGTCACTTCGTTGTCCACTGAAAAGTAAGGTAAGATTGGCGCAGACCAGGGCATGATCAAAGTCCAGATAGGTACTCCAAAAGGAGCGGCAGTCTTGTACACAACCACGTCAGCGGTAGCTGATCGTGATGTGACCAATCTGAGTTCAAGCTTGAGATGCAGAAAGAGGACGCCAGGTGGCACATCGGCGATGACTGCGCCGGAAGTTAGTGCTAGCCAGAAACAGGTTGTGGTTTGTGCAGTTGCAGTAGACGGTTCCCGTTATCTGACCTGTGATCAACAAGCCCCCGTCGGCCACCTAAACGATTCTCTTCTGTGCCTAGACGCCTGACCTAAGCATTCAAGTCTCCGGCCAGTACTACAGTATCTGTCGAACGCACTTTCTGGAGAACAGTTAAATGGTGGTAGAATTCATCCTTGATTGCATCTGGGCTGCGATCCGTCGGGGCATAGGTGGAGATGACGAAAAGACGTCGTTTTTCACGCCCATTTCTTCTCACTTTGATGGAGCTCTCTAATGTAACAGCACATAACCGGCTGTTAATGGGGATCCAATCGATTAGTGCTGCCTCAGCTCTAGCACTTAGTGCGACACCAACGCCAGCACGACCAGATGAAGATGCCACAGGGTCTCCGGATAAGCGCACGTAAAACAAGCTTTTCGAAGCGACAGATGGAGAGTGAATTTGTAGTGCTTCACCAGAGTATTGAATACGGGTCTCGAACAGACAACAAAACATCGATATTAAGACTTTCCAAGGACATAGCCAGCCCTATCTGTTGTCGGACCTGCATAAGTGTGCGAAGGTTGAAGGCAGCCAGTTTGAATGGTGCACGTGGTTTCAGAAAAACTGCTTCAGTACTCATATTCGGTGGTAACATACAATTTTCAATCAGGCAGTAACTCGAGAACGTTTAGATAGAACCGAGTTTACACCATAACCAAGCTGCTGTATAAGTCGAAAATTAAGGATATACAAAGTGGGAATAAGAGAGTGAATAAGTGACGTGGTCAATAATAATAATAATAATAATAATAATAATAATAATAATAATAATAATAATAATAATAATAATAATAATAATAATGTGAATTGTTTGACTGCTAATCGAAGCGTGAATAGAATTTTCAGTAAATATCGTCAGCTTCATTTTATTTGTGTGTGGGCTGTGATACTACCCGGGTTCCCACACCGAAGCAGGTGGTTTTCTCAGGGGGCCACACCCCGAGCCTTTGACCTAAAGGTCTGACGCACAAGGCAGTGGAACATCGTGAGCAGGTCCAGTCCCATGGTAGCCAGTGACCAACGATTGGTTCATACGCCATTTGTTCCCTCAGGATACTGGAGCCCATATGCACCATTGGTTTGGGGTCCGGTTAAAGCGCCAGACATTCGCTTTTCGTCCTCTCGTTTTCGTAAACAACACCCCAGCCACGAGAAAGCAGTGAGTAGGACCTCCCTGGCAGAGGCTGTATACGCGTGGCCGTGTGAGAGCATTTCGAGAGGGAGGGCAGGCCCACTCCTCTCGGCCATACCAGGGCATCTGGGGGGCGACCACTGCTAAGGTTTTTCTTTTGGTAATAATTCACTTAGGGGACCTCTCACTCGATGAATTTCAGATAGGAATGTGCTGTAGTGACTGATTAACCCCAAGAAGGATCATAATGAGGGAACATCAGTTGATGAAGGCATGTTTTGAATGATTTCGATGTTGGCAGGGTCTGATCGGCGACCGTTCTTATCTAAGA